AAGAAGTAAGTGCAGAAGCGAATGGCGAGAAAGGGATCGGTGAAATGTCGATGAAGAGAGGTAGCCGGTAGCGTGGACGGAAGAGAGATCGGGAAGAGGAAAGAAGAGAAAAGGGAAGATGAGCGGCACGTATGCGTGGTATGCGGGTGAGAAACACCCGGGGCGGCTGACCGGTCGGCCGATCCGCCCACGTTTAAACCGTGCATCCGAGTCGAAGTTAGCCGACGGCGGTCCAGCGAGCGTGGTAAAACGGTCTCTCCGCTCATGCCAGCACGCGCGATTCGAGGAACTCGAAATCGAACGCGCCCCCGCGGGCACACGCCACCGTCACGCGAGCACTTCTTCTTCTCCTCTTCTCGCTCCTCCCTGTTCGAGGAGACCGGCGGATTTGCTTCGTGACATCGATTGCCCGCGTATACGGGAACATAATCAGCGAACGAGGCGTCGCGTTCCCTGCGGAAATCGCCCACGTCGCCTCCGACCCACGCGCGGTCAACAGTCGAACGGCGCGGCGGGCGAGACGCGTTCCGAGAGAATTACCGCGACAAAGGAATAATAATAATCACCGAGAAATAAAACGTGCGCTGCTCGCGTGCTTCAACACCTTCCGGTTTCGGGGTACATATACACTTGCCCGGCCCGGTCGCGTCCACCTGTCCACCTGTGTAACGCGCTCGTCTTTGAAATTTCCTCGCTACGTGGAACGTCGGTTGCGTTCAGGCTCGGTCAAAATTTGCACCTGACGCGCCGGACGGCAGTCCCTCCTCCTCCTCCTTGTTCAGATCGGGCCGCGATAACCAGCTTAAGAGCGGCCGACACGCGGCTCGAGAACCAATTCAACGCTCCTCTCCGCAAATTTTCTCGCTGCGTCTGCTCTCCGATAAATGCAAAAGCGTGATCTACGCGTCAATTCGTCCAATCAGAGGAATTTCGCGTTACCGCAACAGCACCTGACACGCTCGCAGTGTCGCGCGGCCCGGCCCGGCCCGGGCGTCCTTTCGCGATCACCTGCTCCCCGTTCGCCAGTCGCAATTTTAAAGCGCCTCCCGTTTGCCTCCCGTTTGCCTCCCGTTCGCCTTGGAGAAAAAAGCGCAAAATTTATCGCGCACGAACAACGTGCGCCGCTCGACTCGGAAACCAATTAAGACTTCCGATAACGATGGCCGCGCATCTGCGCCCCAACACCGTCCCCCGCTTCTTCCGCGCTCCGCCTAGCCGAAAAAAAGGAGAGTCGCCGGCCCCCGGCCCCCGGCCGCCGAGTTTTCGTTGTTCGACAGCAACGGGAAAAGGAGAGGAGCGCGATAAGAGAGAGTAGGCGTAAAGTTGCTTCGGTTCAGACGAGTGAAGCGTGCCCACGCCGCAAGCACGTGAATAAGCACTTAATCACCACCGTGCTGCCACCTCCTCCTTCGCTATTTTTTTTCTGAAAAAAAAATGTCACGTTGGAAAGCACTTGTTATTATCCGTATAACTGGAAGGTTTGTTGAAGAAAAGAGTCTGGTACGCGGCTGCCGAGAACGGGTGTGAACCAGGCCGCGAGGCGCGGCGAGGCGAATGGAGGAGAGTGGAAGAAAGTGGACGCGACGCGACGCGATCCAAGTAGCTGGAATCGCACAGTCACGCTGGCGCCAGTCGTACCGGTAACTTTATATCGATTCAGAGGTACGGTTGTCGACTCTTGCAGAGCCCCGTCGGGGATACTCGGCCGCCCAGTTAGCCGAGCACCGATGTGTATTTATACAACGCTGCCGAGGTACATCTGTTTCCATCCGGGCACGTGTCGGCCACGAAATTAGAACGGTCGGAAGAAGATGCGCGGTCGGAAAAGGAGGTGAGAGCAGCGAGAAATCGAGCGTACGGAAATTCAGCTGAACCGTGCGAAACGAAAATGCTGGCGCCGCGACGTCGCGCATCTCCCCCCGGCCTTGCCAACGCAACCTTTCATCCCGTTCCTCGATTCACCCGTTCGATCGATCCACCGCGTTTCCGTTCTTTCCCACTCTCTACATACATGGAACAGAAACGGACCAGGTCTCCCCCTTTTTCTCTCCGTGGTACTCGGCCTGAGAAAGTATCGTAAGGAGGAGCGTAAACGATTGGAAATTCGCGAGCGGTTCGAAGCCATCGTTGGATTACGCGTGTGTAACGTGTACACGCGACAGCCTTTAAACGAGCATGTGGCGCCAGATGTCGCGGCTCGTAATCTTTAGAGCAAAGCACCGCTCGGCCGTGAGTACACACACGATCACGCGCCTCTCTGCCAACCGGCGAGAGCGCATCGACGTGCTGGTTTCGCACCGTCCGATAGTATCGTGTTTCATAGTCGTAAACGATAAAGGCAATTTCTCGCGCAGTCTTCCCATCCATCCACGTTTTCCCCTTTTCTAGGGAACCTCGACGAGGCCCAGCTGCGCGTATCGTTCGCTAACACAAGAGGTGGAGGAGGAGAACCTAACAGATCTGAGGAAGGTTTGTTCTGGTCGTCGAGGTTTACAATGGGTTTTAGGGTGGGCGCAAAACCCGGACAATTACGTAGACAGAAGAGAACAGGTAGAAGGCAACTCTGAATCAGGGG